ATAGGTGACACGTTTGATCTACCATTGGGCATTGATTCGAGTATCAAAGTTGAATATAAACCAGTAAAGAAAACAAGCGATACACAAGGTATTATTTCCAAAATTCATCTCAAAACTGTTCGTCATGAAACTCATGTTACGAATACTAAGACCAATGAAATAGTTGTTTTTATTTATGATCAACTTCCATTATCATCCGATGAAAAGATTAAAGTCAATTTGATTCAACCAGATTTACGACGAAAAGATAATAACTCACTTTATATCATAACATTAAAGGATACCAATAATTTAGAATGGAAATGTGTACTACCATCAAGAGGCGAATGTCGACTTCCATTCGAATACACTGTTGAATGGCCATTTGACAAACAAGTTGAATTTCAAGAAGAACTATAATTTTTCTCTGATATTTATTCCTGATTATTTTCTCTATGATTTAAGTAAGAAAATAAATCGATTTGAAATCAAATCTCGTTCATGATTTGAGTTTGATATTGCAATACAAATCAACTTTAAGTCCTGCTGGATCAGTCTTCTTGAGCTTCGAATCCCGATGCTACTGTATTATTGGATGGTTTATAAGACAAATATCCCTCTGCATTTTAACTTAGAGTTGTTTTTCGATGCTGAGACTTTTGATTATGTGAAGTTTGTCTTAGATCTATCGAACGATTTATATTTGAATATCTGAATAAATATAATCGATAAAAAATTGATCATTTAGGAAGCACAAACATCTTCTATTGCTTTTCTTTCTATTCAGCAATATTTCGTTCTGAAGAAGATGCCATTAGATCGACTTACCGATGACGAATCAAATGATGTATAAGAAGTTTATAATGAACTGTCATTTGGTTGAAAGAAAATCATGCAAAACATTCAACCTGATTCATAGACATTCGAGTCACAAAATTCAAAGTTGACGAAACAAAGTGAATATATAGGTGACTTTTTCAAAGCTCGTTCGTTCATACCCATTGAAGAAAGTTGTTCTTACCGATCATCTCCATTTTACAATCGCTTCAAGTTGGTCAACATATTTCTGTCAATAGAAAGTCATATTTTGAGATGACGAGAAAAAAAAAGATAAAGTGTCCGTTAAGTCGGTATTTTTTGTATATCTATTTAAGACAGTTTCTTTAAACACAACTAATGTCAGATTCTGTTTTTCGGCACTTTTTCTATTTAAGTGCAATGAAGAAAATGCTAACATAAACTTTTCTACATTGAAAAAATTTTTGTCCACACCGATTGATGATGCCAATTTTTCTGTTTTTTTTCACTTTCGAGAAGCATAATTCCAAATGTAAATGACGCAGAATGCTGAAAATTTTCAAAGTGTAGGAAACTACTGAGAGAAGTATTCTGTGAAATTTTCAAGTCCTCCATATCCAAATGAGAATCTTTTCATTTTCTCCTATGTTGGTAGCGCTCTCGTTCGATACACTTCACATTATTTCATTGACATGAAATTAATAATAATAGTCAGTATCTGTATTCGTTAACAATCAATACGGTAACACGAACAATAGATAAATGTAGCGATTGTTTGAGATAGACAGTTCGAAGACGTAGAAGAAAAGCAGTAAGTCAATCAATATTTCAGCAGTTGAAAGTTCCATCTGTCAGCAATTTGGATTACAATCATGTTCGAATAAAATTTTAAAAAATGATTTGACTTTTATTTTGCTTAGAATTGTGAGGTCGAAAAACTATCAAAAGACTATTCGGTACGAAACTACCAATCATATATTTGCAAATGTGATTGAACAGAGACATTCAGCCGGATTTGAATAATGTCTGAAATGTAGATTTTCGTTTCTTATATATGTTTAAGTCTGAGTCGTGTATGTAAGTTTCAGAATTCCTTAGATGGTGTCGGTGAGGTTTTTTGTTCAGTCACACGCACATGCAAAATTACACCTGCACGGACAATAATAAGTCGAGTTCATTAACGACGAATAGGGAAAGGAAAACATATATATATATGAATGAATTGCAACTTTTTGGTACAATTGACGTGAAAAAATGAAAGTAAAGCTAAACAATTTTTGAGAAGTGTATTTTGTTGTACTCTATACCTGTAGTAGATAGCTAAAGTTTCCCAACACTTTATCGATTATTAAGGAAGATATGAGCTGTACAATGTTGCAGATTCTTCTACTTGTATTATTTGTTATCAATTAGAGCTGAAACTAGGTTCGTGTGAATTTTAATAGGGATAAAAGTTAGGAACGACCAGAAAATCATATTTTTATCCCTGTTTCGGATTCGTGGCATATTGTCATGTCTTACTGTTCCTTCAGATTGGATCCCCACATGCCCTTAACTGATGATTTTCCATAAGAACATCAAGTTTAATTATTTATACTTGATTTTCTATCAATATTTATTTTATTTAAACACGTCACAATTATAATAGTCGCAATCAAGTCTGTCATAGCTGAACTGTATTGTAGAATGTTCTTTTCATAAGCATATACACAAATTGACTCTATTAAATTTTGGGCTATACTGTCTATACTTTAAACAGTAAATCATTCATAACTATTTCTATACCGAAAGAGTACTTAAAAAACAAATCACAATGGATATAAATTTCTTCAGTTTGTGCTGTTTATTTGGATTGCCCTTCAAAATAATAGTATCCAATAAATTCTACTGATAATACCTACAAAATCGTCACTCTACATTTTTTAGTATAATGTAAATTTCACCCGAATAAAAGCAGATTGGAAACTGAAGCTTTTACTGATTATAGAACTTTTTTCTTTACATAAACCCTCAAAGTTTGAGCTAAATCGAATGAACCGTTCAAGAGTTACAAACAAATCAAAATTGAAATCGTCACTCTACATTTTTTAGTATAATGTAAATTTTTCCCGAATGGAAGCAGATTGAAAGCTGAAATTTTTACTGGTTACAGAACTTTTAACTTTACATAGACCTTCAAAGTTTGAGTCAAATTAAACGAACCGTTCAAGAGTTACAAACGAATCAAAACTGAAATCGTCACTCTGCAAAGTGAGTGAAATCACCTTGTTCTCAAAAAGTTTTTCTATTTTTATGAAGAAAGAAATTCGAAAATATAAAGTTTCTTTCGTTGATTTTGTGTCTTAATGAGTTGTCTTTCTTTCTGCATAGTCTTCGAATCAAGATCTTTATCTATAGCACAATTGCAAAGCATGTTTCCGTCACTCTACAAAAAAAAGAAAAGTGTACGTTGGACGAAGGAAGGAAAAGAATATAAAATTCAAATCGATGATATATGCTGATAGAGCATCCACGATTATACAAAATGACCTATAAGCCATGAATGAATTTCAGCAGCATATATTGAGAGAATCAGATGATAATTTCGATATTTTGGATTAAACCCAAGTTTTTGCTGAATGATCCTATCACAATGATCATCATTCGATAGAGAATCGAATTCTGCATTCACCACAACTTTATTGGAAGGCTAGCACAGATTCAGAAGCGAATGTCAGCACGAAATACTGAAAACTATTGCTAACTTTCATTACATGTACAATTACTATGATCGATGATTGGGTCTCATACTCTTGTTTTATCTATACATATGAAGTCAAAGATACACGTGGATTTTTTTTCTTCCTGTAATACATCGAAAATGTTCCTAATAGATTGAAACAGTTGACCGTCTTATCACTTAAAACTATGTTTACAAAAGCGATGATTGTTAACCATGACTCACATTCTTATTTTACCTGTATATAAGAAGAAAACGTGGATGAGTGTCTTTTTTTTCTTTTTCCACTAAATCCAAAGCCTACATCTTAGTTTATGCAATTGGCTGTCTTATTACTTCAAACTCTGTTTACAATAATAATAGTTGATTATCATAGTTAATGCTCTCATTTTATCTGTATATATGAAGAAAAAACCAAACTGGGTATCTTTTTTCTTTTTACATTAAATAGAACACCTCTGTCAAAGATGAAGTAATTGGGTATCAGGTCATATATAACCACTTTTACAAAAGTAACAGTTGCTGATTAGAGTTCGATTTTTCACTTCAGTAGTATAAAACAAGCGTTTTTGTGACATCTTTTTTTTTCTTCAACCATATATCGAATTTGTGATATGCGTTACTGTTTGCCCTCTCCAAAAAAAACAAATGTTTTTGCGGGCATAATCCAGAAAGATTCTTACACTGGATTCAAGTCTGTCCAAAAACCTTTTTTTTTTTAGAATGCACATCGTCAATTCAAGGTTAGAATTTTTTTTATACTTTGTTATTCGTTCAAATGATAATTTTTTTTCTTCTCAATGTCTTGATACTAATCTTGAGTGTATTGTTTTTATCATCAATAATTATCGTGTTCAATAGATATATATAGATAATATTACATGAAAATGCGTATAATGATCAAAACATTCGAATAATGTTTACACAAACTAATGTTACGTATGAATGTATAATTTTTTTTCTTTTCTTAATTCATTTGATCCAGGTATTAGATTTGATAGAGAATGACTATGTGTATGATAATTTCTGTTTTTTTACTATCTAATAAGCATATCCTAATGTAAATATATCTATATGAAAGTGTCCAGTTAAGTAGGATACCCCATGAGTATTTTTTTTTTCGATATTGTCTCAACCATATATCAGAAAGCTTTGACTTTTATATTAGTTATAGTAGAAACATGATATTGATCATTTGTTGTTCAGACTTTGTCTCTTGTAAATAAACAGATTTGTTTGTCAAGATTTTTCTTAGACTCTTCTAATCACAGATGTGTCTTTGATTAAACAATCTTGAGAAAGATCTCAACAAATCTTTTAATTCACAAGAGACAGAATCAAAACAAAAACGAATAGCCAGCATTATGTATGTACTATAACTGATATTAAAATCAAAGTGTTCTAATATATGATTGAGACAATATCAAAAAAAATATTCATGGGATATCCTACATAACTGGGCACACCCATATAAATTCACTCTTTTAAGATTTAAAACAGATTCATGTCATCAATTTCGATGGATGCACCAACTCTTCAAGCAACCAGAAATAATATGAGAAATTTTATCAATTTTGTGCATATGCATGAGTTTCTTTTGAAACAATATGGTGCAATCAAAATCGTTCCACCCTCTGAATTCCAAGAAGTTTTCAAAAAAAATCGAATCAAATGTATTTTACCTTCAACAATTCAACAAATCACTCAACCAAATCGGAATAATATGATATATTCTGTCGATACAGTGCCCTGTATTAATGAAAACAAATTAAAGCAATTATTACCTTTAAACGAAACTACTTTCTGGTTATCATTATCTCAGTCCTCTAATAAACAACAAATATCAAGTGTATCAATTCTTTCTAATATGAGTTTTTTTCTAAAACGAGTTTCTCGAACCGATTTCGATATTCATCGATTACCTCAACGATCACTTCTTGCATTATGTGACAGTAAATGTCTTCGCCAATTCGTACCATCTTTGATTCGAGCACATGGACCTGGTGCAATTCATCCACTAGCTTCTGCTCATCAACGCCTTTTCTCATTTGATTATCATCATGGGGGTGGTCTTCGTTACTGGTACATTGTGCCAGCTAGTGAACGAGGAGCTCTTGAACATATGTTTCAACAAGAAGCAATTTCACTTTGTCTTGAACACGGACAGGTATTAATTGATCCACTTACGTTTGATAAATATAGAATTCGTTACCATCGACTTGTTCAACATCCGAATGAAATTGTTGTTCTAGCGGCTGGAGCTCTGTCTCAGAGTTTCACTGAAGATGCAACATGGAGTGAAACCATTGATTTCGCTCTACCTAGTTGGCTCGATGATGGACATGCAAGCGCTCAAATATCATGTGCATGCAAACTACCCATAACTTCATTATCAAAAGTAATTGATATTAATTCATTCCGTCCTGAACTCATACAATGCTATATTAACACCTATCTTAATATTATTATAGATAGTAAATCTTTATCTAATACAAGTTGGTTCAGAATTAAATATCTATATTATGTATTAGTTTGCGTATTTTAGGTAATCAAAATTCGGAAACGAATAAAATATCAATTTTATCCAGTACTTCTTTAACATCTTTGGATAGATCATCAAGTCAATCAGTGATATCTTCTATTGGTAGTAATTTATTTGAAGATGAAGGTATCGACAATTGCCATTATTTAAATCAATTAAAAATGCAAGAGTAGGTTTTTTTTTCTTACAATAATTAAAATGTTTCAGATGTTTTCATCTAGTACAAATATTTTCCTTGATTTCAGTTTTTTGTTATACGTATTAAATTATTTTAAAAGTTTTCTCATTTTTTAATCAAATTGAACTCCATGTGTTAAGCATTAGGTTTGAGTGGCTATCGCGAATATTTTGATGCCAACATTATGAGAATTTGAAAAGAAATCCTCGAGAATTATCATTTCTTTGGTTTGAATAAACTATGATGTGCGTTTTGTATATAATAAACGAGATCATTTCGAGGAAGAAAAAGTTTTGAAAACGATAGTGTTGCACGTATTATTCATTGTTTTTTATGACCCTTGTCAGTTTGCAACTTTGATATTTACAATAAGTTTCATATAAAAGATTGTGTAGATGACTGGATTCGATCTTATTCGGACTAAATTTAAAAAGCTTGACCGTATGATATTCTTTCCATGTATTTATAAAATCATCATTGAACTTTTACACTTATTGTAGAGAAAATAATGTTTTGGAAATACCAGATGAATTCGCACATTGTACAACATCATATTCACTTCAAACTTCGAGTAAATCCACTGATGATTTTTATGAAATCTTTTCATCACAAGATTCCTACGAACGAACGATGATAGAAAGTATTGATGATCCTTGCACTTTGTCTTTTGAAGAAATTATGGACTTATTATCCACTCCTCCAATTCCTGTTAAATCGATAGAATCTCAGGCTGAACCGCAAGTTGATAAACGTAATGATAATAAAAGAACAATTTCAGTAAGTAGTGTGACTTATTTTTCATTAAAAAAAAATTGAAGTTTTCGAAAATCAAAAAATATTTCGCCAAATCTTAGAAGAAACTATTGCATTGATGTTTTTGAGATTCGTTGTAATTATTCGAATCATTACTATATCTTTTGATCACATGTAGTCTTTTTTAGCTGTACTACAACAAAATCATCATTTTAAAGGATCAATTATCACTTTCAGTTAGAATCTATTCTTGATCTTGTTTTCGACCTAACATCATTCTTTTCACTTTGCGTTAAAATATGTGATCGAAATTATAGTAAAATCTAAGAGGATGAGTGCATACATCACAGTCCTGGCATTTATTAAGCACTATAGCATACTGTAACATTCTTTGATAGTCTACTAAACATAGTTATTTTCTTGAATGAAGCGCTTACATACTGAAAAGGTGCCGAAATATCATCTTTACACTTTTATTTATTGTAAAATCATAAAAGATTCCTAAAATAATTTCTGAAAGATGGCATAGAATAATGGTTTTTTATTTCTTTTTGGTTGAAAACAATAGTATCATATTGGACAAATGATACGATTTTGAATCGTGAACAGACTCAAATATTTATTTTACATACAGACAATTTTCAAGTGGCGCTAGTAGAATCATATCATAATTCTTTTTTTTTCATTAAATATATTATACATACATATATATCCCTTGTCAACATAAACTCTACATGTTATTTTTTCTATTATATCTCCCCATCATCGTTATTCCGTTTCATTTTTATGTTACTAATACATTCTCTATTGCATGACTTATTCTAAAAACTTTAGCCCTACAAAATGAGAATTGACAGAGAAAACTATCAATATGTTTCATGTGCGTATATGTCATTGAAACCAAAATGTTTTGTTTTGTTGATTTCTCTGTTATTCTGGGTTTTATTCGGAATAGTCGGTCGCAGCTAACTACCTCTAACATACGCCTGTAGAAAGAGACATCTTCGTACGTCTTTATGTACAGACGTTTGTTAGAAAAAGCTAACTACGATTTCATATTCCATATGAAATCTAGAATAACAGAGAAATCAATTAAACAAAATAAAATTTGATTCCACTGAATTAATCAATCAAAAATGTATTTGTAATATAAAGATACGACGAAACAATAATGGTAGGATGAAATAATCGAAAAAAATAAGATATGTAGTTTACTTTGGCGAGGAAGATATATATGTTGAGTTCACCATCATAAGTATTCCATCTGTTTAGAATTGTTCATCGCTAATTTCTATGAATGCACACACGAAAGGCACTCGAACTCAGAAGACTTTCAAGAAGAGATACTTGCACAACATTAAAGATGTCAACAAAATTCTGTACATCTCTGATATGAGAAATAAAGTGACCCAAAATGACATACGACGTCACTTTGTTGGCTGTATTAAAGTGATAATGAAACAAAGTCAACTGCCTCCATATCTCAAGTATGTCAGTAATTATTGATGGTTCTAATATAATCTGTATTAATTTCGTAGGTATGCGTTTGTTTATCATCGTACTGAGTGGGAAGCCGAATATAATCGAAAACGTCCTATTAATCAACTACTTTTTGGATCTAATTGTCACGTTGAATATGTCAATATTCACTCTTATCCTTTTAGCAAACGTCAAACCTCGGAAATATGGAATATTATAGTTAGACGAATACCTAACAATGTCAGTGAAAAATGTTTATACAACTTGTTCAATAGTTGCCACTCAATAAAGTATTTTCCAGCACGTGCTATTCATAACATGAAGACAGTAGATACATCGACTACTAAAAATAAACTATTATGGGGGTGAGTTTGATTTCTCATTACTTAAGCCAATAGTTTGTTCATTTTTTCTCTTTAATTTTGAAATCTGAAATTTCTCAAAATTTACAAGATGAAAGATTTTCAACCTTTCGAAAACTTGCTTTCTAAAAAGATAATAGTATTTTTAGAAAATAATCGCTTTTTCATTGAAAGTCCTATCTATCTAACCATTTATCATCTTTGAGATAAGTTACTAATGAATTGAAGGATCAGCCAAAACTAGAATAAGCATACGCAAACTAAATTGTTCTGGAAGTTATTAATTTAATAAACTCTTAGATGTAGAACTGTTCTCTTAGTATCAAGTTGTGATAATCTACTTATTTTGAAATTATAGGTTCAAAAGAAAAAAATTTTCTTCTGCATTAACTGAAAAAAATTTTAGCAAATGATCGTTTTTCACATAGGGGTCTTGAATATCATAATGATTTTCATTAGTTCTTCCGTTTTCATTGCTTTGATAAAACTAGTCAAATAGTATCTTTTTTTATCATTCTCTGATAAACAGTAATACAACAAATATATTGAAATATCTTTATCCTGACCTTTTTATTTCGATCGTTTTTTGTCGAAAACGGAGCAATGAAATTCTAATTTAACACTATATAAGTAAGATGTCCTTTTATTAAAATATTCAAAATATTTTGTCGTTTTTCTTCAAATCTTTAATACATTCTTATTTATATATTTGTACAGGTATGCTTTTCTCTATTATGCCAATGCTGAAGAAGCTGCCAACATCGTGAAAAATGCTGACAACTTTAAAATTAATAATCATTCTCTAATAATTTCCTTCTACGACAAAATGAAAACAACATTGGGAAAAAGACAAAAACTCAACTGTGGACAATTCCTCCGCAAGTGCACTACAATTACAAGGAATTCATGTGAATGAGATGAAACTTTCTGAATTAGTAGAACTTGATATCTTCATCTCAAAAATCATCTTCAATATATTTTAAAATGATGCCATGATGGTTTCCAATTATCAATTCCAGGAGTATTCTTAGGCAAAATTAGATTTTTAGAATTTTTCGTTTTTTAATGATAGAAAGCTAATGTTGTAAGAGTAGATAATAATCAATGAGACAATCATTTGAAATAAACAAAAGAATTTTTCTCAAATGTCTTTTTCTTTTAGCATTGAAAAGTTTCATAGAAAAAGTCAACTTATTCGGTATTTTGGAAGTATAATTTCTCTGATAGAGAACAAGATTTAATTATCAATGTTATATGTGTTAGAATCTTCTTTAAACATACTATCCAGTTATGAGATTTGTTAAGGTTTAAAACAGAAGTCGACCTCTATGTAGGAGGGTTTTGGGCAGGATTTTTACTTTTCTCTAAAGTTTTGAACTGTCTGAAGAGAAAATTAAGGATTCAGATAAGGAGAACAACAATGATGTGTAAATATTGACTTTGCTCTTTTAGGATCGATAGATCGTCAATTACGTTTCTACGGAAATGTTCCGAATTTTTAAAATTATTGTTCACTGAAGCAAATACCTGTCTGTTATATTCAATGTCAAGAATATGTCCAAAATAAGTTTTTCTCCGATTAAAATCCTTAATTTTTCCTGTAGACAGTTCAAAGCTTTAGGGAAACGTGAAAATCCTCCTTCAAAGCCCTTCTACTAAGCGATCAGCTTTTGTAGTATACGTTGAGAAATCTCCTAAGTAGACCTATGAAAGTTCTCTATTAAAGAAAAGCAACTTTTGATAATATAGAGAAATTGTATTTGACTAAATTTATAATTAGTGTTTCTTATCTGTTACAATAGGAAGTCTCTTCGAACGCCGAGATAATATTTCCTCGTCTTTTTTCAGGCATTCTATTATAGTTATAGATAAATGTGCTGCTCTACTCAGTACTTGCAAATTAATCGATCATGATTTTTGTACGAAATTATTCAGTAGAAACGATTCTTGGTTAGCAAAAGCTTTTATGTTACATGTTCCACTTATATTGTTAGCAGTAATCTGAATCACCGACTTGAGTTTTGAGGATTCGACTACTCGTAAAAAACCGCGAGGAAGCAAACAAAATTCAAAGCTCTGTTTAGTCGAGGAATGCTTGCATGCCTTGGCCATATGCGTTAGTTACTCGAGAATCTGTGGCTGCAGTAATAATAGTATCTAAGATAATAATGATAGTTTCAAATAACATCCATTTGAATTAAAAATAAAATTACCTTGTCAAAACAATCATGATAAAACTTTTTCAATAGTAAGTGTCGCTACTGGAATGCTCGGTCAAAATGAACTTTGCTAGATGATCTTGCCGGGAGAAGAAGTTTTAAAACAGGAGCGAATTGAAAAAGATTGGAAAGGAAACTTAGAAATGCATCGTAGCACAGTTCGATTAATTTTACGATGTTTACAAAATGCTGGTTAATTGGTTCGTAATATGTATGAGAGTTATATTCGTAGTGCATTTACATTTAGTGTTACGTGAACTATCAAATATGCTGTTTTTTGCTAATCGGGCGGTACTTATATTACTCAATTCTTGTAAGATTCTGTCAGTATTCTTATCAGTAGCTGATCTTGTTGATGCTAATACAATTGCTATTTCAGATGGTATAATTAAATCAGATAGGATTACTATGAATCTCTTTTTCGTTCTTTGGAAGCTATTATTAATCTCATTTAACATAAAGTGTTTAAAAGAAAGGAGTATATTATTCTATATGAAGGAATCTATTTACAATGCCTAAGATATATCATGTGTTCTTTTACTTTAGAAAATCTAATTAAACCCATTTAATAGAATGAATTCATATATAGTCCATGTGCGCTGTTTATGAATAAATTTTATTGCTTTGTGAATACCTCAGATTTATTGTTTAATTTACATTCTATGTTATCTTAAATCCTTAGAATTACTGAAGGCGTTGCTCTGCCATAGCTCTTTCAATTTTTCATAGGAAAGAATTTTTTAAATTCTGGGGAGGTAGGGCTGTGCTCCCTAGTACTACCCTAATAACACCGCTAACTGCGACCTATCGCAGATCTACTCATAACTGGATAGTATGTTTAAAGAAGATTCTAACACATATAATATTGATAATTAAATCTTGTTCTCTATCAGAGAAATTATACTTCCAAAATACCGAATAAGTTGACTTTTTCTATGAAAATTTTCAATGCTAAAAGAAAAAGACATTTGAGAAAAATTCTTTTGCTTATTTCAAATGATTGTCTCATTAATTATTATCTACGCTTACAACATTAGCTTTCTATCATTAAAAAACGAGAAATTCTAAAAATCTAATTTTGCCTGAGAATATTCCTGGAATTGATGATCGAAAAACATCATGGCATCATTTTAAAATATATTGAAGATGATTTTTGAGATGAAGATATCAAGTTCTAGTAATTCAGAAAGTTTCATCTCATTCGCATAAATTCCATATAATTATAGTATGCTTTCAAAAGAATTATTCCTGTTTTATTGATCATTAAAATATTTGTAAACAATAAACAAAAGTATCAATTATTCAATTTTGTATATTTTTATAGCAGCTATATTAATAAATTAATTTTGTTCATCGATATTATAACAAAAATACTATAAAAATGCATGAAATCAAAGAAACTTTCATTTTAGCACATCAGACAGTATTGAAGTGTCTGTTTTATTTATTTCTGCGCAACTATATTACATCTCTGGTTATTAATCTTCCATATCCAAGTCGAAAAAACCCAAATTTGGGTTGCATCGGAAATTTTCTGATATTTTGCCGAGGAATTTCGACTAAAAATTGAAAAATGTCAGATCTAACAGGCCACAACCATTGCATGTGCTAAGCAATCGATAGGATCCTGTCAACTTTTTTGAAGAAATGCTATCTACGAAGGAGATTACGACTCATCTAAATGGTCATAGACAACGCAATAAAGAACGAATACGACAGTATCTATGATTGTGCTAATATCATACCTTAATAATGACCAAGGCTGTTTGTTTATTATTTATTATAGCATCTATGAATATCGCTGTTGAGCCATATGCGAATTCGAAAATGTCTATAATTAACTTTCATACTTGGTCAATTGCTACTAGATTAGAAACAAACCTAAGTAAAAAAAAATAACTTAACCATTAACCTTGTGTTTGAAACAAATACGAATAAAAACATATTTTCATTGGCTTTTTAAGTTGTTAAAAGATTTTTGCAGGCAATAATATCTCTGTTAATAGTTTGGGTCATTTTTTGGTAAGAGCACGCAAGGGCAAGAAGGACAGGACTGTAAGATGTCAATAATCACGAGCAGTGCCAGCCTTTAAGAATACACCCATGAAAAAATGTGTTCCGTGATGAACTACAAAAAAATAGATGATAGAAAAACAAAACTTTAAAATGATCAGTGACAGTTTAGGCAATTTTTTCATTCCGCGATCCTGTTGAAAAAAAATTATGGGATTAGAATCAGTATTAAATTCTGAACATAGTAAACTAATTTATTTTGAATCCAGATCAGAAAATGTTTTTTCGAAAAAATATTTTATTCTAGTCTCCTACACTCTATAACAATAGATTTATTAATGAACTATGAAAATTTCGTATTTCGGTACAAAACCATGTTAGGTTTCGTAAAATCAGAAACCTTTCGCATTTTTTATATTAAACTATTTCTGTTGCGAACGCCAGAATTAAGTAAGGGTGGATGCCAGAGATCCGCCAGTCAGCCAAAAAAAATCGACTTGCCACCATCTCGTCATGCTAGCGAGTTGCTCATCGCTGTTTCTCCTTTCCTCGCCTCGCTTTGTCTGGAATCTATCATAAAAACGATCTTTTTAGGCAGTTTCTCAGCCATCCACAACAATTACTATCTTTTTATTTCGTACGGTCAAATAAGACCAGACAGAATAGATGAATATATGTATGTATATACAGGTTGATTACATAGTTTGATAGAACATCATTTACTTTATGAAACTGTATAGTCTTTATTTTATGTATTTTGCACTTCGTTCAAAAATTTGTTCGGTTCGAGAACTGATAGAACGAAGTTTTTGCACGCTAATATTTCAGTTCGATTAAACTCATTAGTGATGAAAATTACTTTGGATGGAAGAGAACCATCAAACTTAAATGTGCAAAAAATATAAAACAAAACTGGTTTGAAATTGAGGAGAATACTGAGTTTTATTGTTAAAATTTGATCCACGTTTGAGCTTATGAAAGATCAAGTTTTGTATTGTATTTAGCAAAAATTCATCTGGGAAACTGTACGTAAATATAATCAAAGTTATATAAATCGATGAAGGAATCAAGGCTCTATTTATCTATATATCAAAGAGAAAAAGTTTAGATGCTTGAACAACCAAAGGTCCTTTGAACAGAAGATAAAAACCATATATGAAAAAACATTTAGGAATACATTTCTTAGGAAAGTCTCCAAGTTTATATTAAAGATAAAGCATATTCAATGAAAAATATATAGTTCGGTATAGAAAACAACGGTCTTTTCTTCTATATAAAAATAAAAGGTTTTACCTACTCTACGGAATACAGAAAAAAGTTATCTAAGAGTTACTCTGAAAATTACTCGATGCAAACAGTGTTGACGACTGCTTCTCTAAATGTATCAAATTTTTGAACAAGATTCAAAGTGAATAAAATGAAAACTACATAGTTTGATTAAGTGATGAATGCTCTATCTGACCATATCCAAATGACAAACTTCTGTGATTTCGTTTAAATACGGCGAACTAGATAGAGCTTTTAAAAATAATGTAATCAACCTGTATTTTTTAGAAAAGTGAACAAGTTTATAGTGATGATAAAGAATAAGCTCAATGAAAAATATATAATTCGGTAGAGAAACAAACAGTCGATTATTTTATATAAAAATCATAAGTTTCAGTATCTCAGTAAAAAAAAGCAGTTATCGAAAAAAGTTACCTTAGGCATTGTCTGAAAATGCTGGAGGCAGAAACTGTTGATGCCTGTTTTTCGAAATTGACAAGATTTTCGGACGAGCTTAAGAGTAAACAAAATAAAAACTACACAGTTCGATAGAGTAATCAATGCTTTATCTAACTATGCCAAGATGAGAAACTTCTGAATGATTTTTACAAATACAGCAAATTTAGCAAAACTATCAAAAATAACATAATCAATCTGTCTACTCACTTATTATCGTGATTAGTTAAACTTCATCACTAATACATACGTTTAAAAAAATCTACAATAAAATTGAGAGATGTCGTTAAAGATTTATCATTTATCATAAATGGTCACCGTATACTACCGCCATTGATTAGTACATAACTGTGTACGATCGAGAGTACTCGACCTGGAAAATTTTGTTACATTTCGTTTGATATATTGTCTAAACCTTAGAATGTGACTCATTGATTTTATTTTCCGAAATGTATATTGAATGGTGAAAAACTATAGTTTGGGTGTTCTTGGATCCAGTGAATTATATTTTCCATATTCGGCACTGTAAAATTACTATTAATATCTAGATTATGGGTGTTACTTTACCTTTACTTTATAAATGAAGATAAAGATTTCTTTTATCTTTATTTTATAAATATAAAGATTTCTTTTACCTTTATTTTATAAAGAATAAAGATTTGTTAATCTCTTTATCTTTATTCTTAATTATAAAGAAAATAAAAATAAAGTAACACCCCTAATCTATATGGAATGTTCGAAAGAAATAATATAGGTATTGTTCTCATGAAACATTTTTTCATATTAAAGAATATGTGATGTTGGTTAAGTGGATGTCGTTCAAGAATTAACTAAATGCTTAAGTTTAAATTGTAAAGAAGAGTATTCAACTACTTTAATCCTTTACTTCGTATTAGTCCATTTTCAATCCATTCATAGAAATTATCTGTTTAGAGTATTAAAGTACTGGATCGATATGATGGTTTTAGTACATTGTGCAAAGCTTTTAATCAGCTACAAATTTGAAAAAAGATCTAAATTTCTTTTCATCATTCTTTAGTTAAGATATATGAGTTGGAAAACAGTATTTTCTCAAGAAAGTAAAAAGAATATGTTTTATTTAATTACACAGACTGATTATTCTGATGTTTATGAGATTGATACATAATTAATATTATGAGCATAATCTATTTACAGAGTAGTTCTTAAAAATCTCTTGATTATAGATGTGAAAGTAACTTTTTCATGTCAACTTGGGTCATTTTTGACACATTCATAAAGAGTCACATGAAAAACGGTTTTTCTAGAGTTACATTTTTCACGATATAAAATCATAAAATAATACGATTTTCATGGTAAACACTTTATTAGAACGATAAAAGATAGAAACTTGTAGTCCCTACTATGACATTCTTCTCGGTGAGACTTTAACAATAGGAATGAGTGATTTCAGATCGGAATCAGAATCAATGATTCCATATTGTATAGAGAACATGAAGATCAATAGTTCCAATACAATCCTGGAAGTAAAAGAACTGATTCCAATTCTAAAATAGTCGCCTTTGCAAATATCTAACCATATATCGTGCTCTGAAATGATTCATTTTTCAAAAAATAGTTAATGATAAGTCTTCAACTTTATACAGGTAAAATAGCAGTATAAGTGCGAAAAAAGTTAAATTAACAGTAGATTCAATTTTTATGTCATTCAAGATAAATAAGTCATTTTAGACCCATTCTGCATCTCCACAGTGAAATAACTTAGTCTAAATTTAACCACACCATTGTCGTAACTAGTATCTGCAAAAACTATTCTCATATTTATCTCAACACCAAATGTATTGAATGAGTGCTAGTAGTAAATGATTAAGCAAGATTTAGCATCACAATATAAAAACAGTTCATTTTCAAGTCGTGTTAAATGCTGTGGTTGAACTTTTAAAACCGGTCGGTTGTCACTGGTTTTTTATCAATTTTAAGAGAGGGTCCGCCAGAAAACCAGATATAAAAAAGGGAGTTGG